TTCTGAATCACAGTCACTGAGCAACATCTGGGATCTGGGCACCTAGTAAGAAACAAACCTGTCGATGTCTCCAAGTCAATGAGGGCCTCTGTCCCCCACAGGAGGGATTCTCTGGTAACTCTCATCTTCCTTTTCTTCATTGTGTGAATGCTTGGCTTAGGTTCAGCTGGTATCAACACATTCCTTGGTGGTCGTCATCCTCCTCTTTCTCAGGGCACTGTACCTACTCTGCAACGGCAGAGCTGCAGGTGGAAAAGGAGCCCTTTTGTGTTGCTGGAAATGAGGTTTCCAGCTTTCCCTCCTGTGGGGGTCTCCGTCCACTGCTCCTGCGAGGGTAGTCTCAAGGTTTTTCCTCCTTTGCAGCACAGGGCTTGGGTGGTCCTTAGCTCTGCAGCATCTCCGTGAGGACCCTGCCGTCTCCTGTTCCTCCTCCTGGCTGCTACGCGGGCTGTTCACCTCCTCCTGCAGCTCCTTCACCCAGCAACTCGGCACTGCAACCAGAGCACAGCTCTGCCAGTGAGGCTGCTGTCGCCAGCCCCAGGGAGAGACATCAGACTCCCGGAGATGTGGGCTGCTGCAGCACCCTTCCCCTGGAGCTGCGTGTGGGTCAAGGCCACTGCTCTGCCAGGGGCGGCTGTTCCAGCCCAGGTGGACATCACCATTACTGCAGTTTTGAGCAGAGATGTGGCCCTTTTCTGCAATACTTATACCTACTACAGCATATTTGAGTACTTGAGTGTACTTCAGAGAAGAATTTCAACAGGGCATTGTTACAACATTGCAGTACTTCTGACTTGTAGAGATTTTTGTGAAATATTATATGTATTTATCCCTTTAAAATATGTCTGTTCCTCTTAGAACTGGATTTCTCTAGCTTGTCATTCAAACAGAAAATTACCTTTCCTGTGCTTTTCAGAAGTACCTAGATTTATATTTAAAAACAAGACAACTTTTCTTGATCTCAGCTGTTCCCTTTGTAGAAGTTACACTCTATATGGGAAACACAGGAAAAAAATGCCACTCAAGGCATACATACTTTTCTCTCCTCTTTTTTCCCCTGTTGAATTGGCTTATATTCCAACTACAGATCTGTATTTTACTTAGCAGTGAACCTGGTTGTCCTAAGAAATACTCTTCTCCTCTATAAGCACTAGAACGTGACTGCACTGAAAGTTGCATATTTTAAGCCCTAAATGTGGGCTGTGTTAAACTTCGTCTCTGGGAGGTTTCTGAATTCTAGCTGCTTAACTAACTTTGCTGCTCCACCTATCCACTTGCTTATGTTCCTGTTGTTTGTGGAAATGGAAAAGAGAAAGCAACTATGGGAGAGTATCACAGCTTGCCTGTGGCTTAAAGTAGCGTGTCTCCACCAAAGAGCAGCCTGTCTCTTTCGACTCCCCTATGATTCCTTTCACGTAACATCTTGGTTCTGTCAAGGTAAGAGAGAGCCAGCGCTTACTGCTGCAAATGTTCTTACATCACCTCATCCCACAAATCCCAGTGGCTGACAGCAATTAAATACCTGTCGGGGTGAACAGAGAGTGTGTTTCTCTGTAACACACAGGTTCAGTGCAAGCTTAGTCAAAACTGTAACAGTTGAGAAAAGAAAGATGATAAAAATCAGTCAGGATTACAACGTAAGAGTGGAACAGAAGACAGAAGTTGTTTTTAAGATGTTGCACAAGTAGTGGGAATTTGATAATTCAGAAATTGTGGTAGAATTTTGAGGTTTGGAATTAGATTGAAACTGATACTTTTTTCTTTTCGCTAGAAAGGCAGAAAAACTATACTTGAACACTGTCAGGACCCGAGGTTGAACATGGGAAGACGTTAGCGTACTAGGTGCAAAGGGACAGACGATACAAAGAATGCTTGAGCTGTTACCTTGATGAGGCTGGAAAAACGTGAGCCGCTACTGAAATCCTGGTGTTTGGTAACCAGTCAGGCCTTTTGCTGCCACTGAGGACTCGGTGCTTTCAGTTCCACTTGTGTTTGTCAGAGTTGGGAGCAAGAATAGCTGGGCTGAGGGGAAGAGGCCTGAAGAGCAGCTCTGTCCAGACTTTCAGTTCCTGAGTGAGTGGCAACAACTGGTGGGCTTTGGTTTTGTTTCTGCTTAACCTTTAAGCAGTGCTTAATCTCAGAAATGCAGCTGTTGTGGTTATGCTCTTTATTAAAAAGAATTTTTGAACCACAGGGAAGTTACAAATAAGAGCGAGTGGTCCTCTCCTTGCCCCTCAGGGTTCTTGTAGACTGAGCCCCTCATTCCAGGACTGTAAAATGCTGTTGGGATATATTTGGTAACTAGGGAATTACCCTTATTAATTCCTTTGAGATGGATCTCAACCTAGAACCATGTGACCTCCCTTCTCTCACATGTACTTCGAGACATTGCTAGAACGCTTGCCCTCTTAATATTTACATTTGACTAATTATATACAAGGAAAAGCTTCATAATAATGTCTACTTACTGTATGAAAAGGAACCTGCCCTGAGGAAAGCGATACTCTTCTCCAAACAAGGAGCAAGCCATGTGGCTTAGCGCTGTTCCACATTCTGACAGCACAGAATCACAGGACAGCCCAGGTGGGGAGGGACCTCGAGAGATCTGGTCCAACCTCTCCCAGGAAAGGGAGCCTAGGCCAGATTATCAGCACCCTGTCCAGGTGTGTCTTGAAAGCCTGCTGTGAGGGGGACCCTACCCCTACACCCCTGCCCTGCAGAGGTTGTACCAGTGATTGGTTGTTCTCGCTGTGAAAACTTTCTTTCTGATGTTGAAATAAACCTGAAGGAGTGCTTGAAGGGTTCAGAACAGCTGGTGTTTTTCAGTACAAGCAAGCATCAGGGTACATCAAAAGCTTCAGTTCG